CCACTTCGTCGCTAAAATACAGCATCAGAGTTAGGTTTCTTGTCCACCTAGACCTGCACATCCGGCAGAGCAATACAGTATTCACCTCATATTTGTATTTGTTTGCTCGAAGAACTTCAACCGTAGTGAATGTGAAATTCTTATTCGAAACTCATAGGCTCATAAATACACCATCGTATGTGGCAGGCTGCTGGCGAGACGGCCAAGACATTACCAAAATAGATGTTCTGGCTGAAATACTGAGAAGTTCTGGCATGAGCGGGATGGAAGCAGACAGTGCGTGTGACCGGAGTCAACAGAGTGCGATAAAGCAGCAGCTGAGAACAAACACGCAACAGGCCGTCGACGAGGGGGTGTTCGGAGTACCTTCCTACGCAGTCCCGAGTATGTCTGTGTCTATATGGAACTGCATTTTCTGATATACCTCCTGTATCAGCATGGGTAGACGTGTGGGTTCAGCGTAGTCCATCTGCAAGTTAATTTTGCAATCATCAATTCAAGTGCGTATGTGATTCCTTAGAGGACACCATAGTATGTGAACTAAATCTGTAGTTTGTCTGATTAATTTAATATTTTGATTGCAATGGTGTAGTTTTGACATGCAGTTTTTGCCGCTTGTATCACTCGAGAGCTCTGTGAGCCAGCTATCTGTGCGTATGAAAATGCAAGATCATTAATGCAAATACTACAGGCGAATGTCAGGAAGGTCGCACGCGACGCTGCTATTCGTGTCTTACGTCTGTCGGTGAGCTCTGATTTGCTAGTGTCACTAGTCGCACTGTAGCGTGTAAAAGAATTAGAATGCAGACATTCACTTGCTGGTTTCAGCGAGTGTATCCTGAGCCACTGTCTCTGTGTTTACAGATACACCTTGTTTTACAGGTTCATTGAACGGAATGTTCTCATTCCGTATAGCAATGCGCCGTGCATATGTGCTCGTTGACCTTTTTGGGGAGTCTACAGATTCGTGTCAAAACCTGTATACGCTTTCAAGCGCGAACCAACCACTCCATACAAATGACCATTGTGCACATCCTGCCAGATGCGAAACAACCTGATGAGGAGGATGAGGTGTTCTTCGGAAGTGATCAGTGGCCATTCGTTGAAGATATGCTCAACGGGACGGATCCAATCACCCCAGCGCATCACGAGCTTTGGAAAGGTTTACCTCGTGGAGCCGAGCGCAGGCGCTGATGCAAATGATTATCGGACAGTTCACATGGTTCCCTAATTAAAACATTCGGTCAACTTTGAGGCATGAAGTGGTTGGCTCGGTATGGCCTATCTTGTGTTGTGTGAGTTCGTGATAGGTGCCGGTGTTGATCTCAGGCTTGAACATGAATACAGTTCCATATTGATACAAGGAAACCCTCAATTTCCACATTTTCTGCTCGTCAGGCGGAATGCATCTCTCCTACCAGGCGATGGTATCGGGACATAAGTCGACGCCGACTATCTGATATATCGGCGAGCTTTAATACTCACGTCACATTGGTGGGTATGGTAACCACGTATTCATCCACGCAATGCTTGACAGCCCGTCAGCTGTAAAATAACACAAGCACATCAGCAAGCCGAGTTCGCTTCACTACCTTGCCAAGCGTGCTGGCGGTTGGGCCTACTATTATCAAATAACATGTGTATCCTCGATTAAACAACATGCGTGTCCTCGCTTTTGATTAGTTTTGTCGAGTTAACGATTAGTTTTGTCGCGCCAACTGTTCAAGCGCTGAGATTATTGCCGAGACTACAAGTTTAGGTGCTCCTTTCGCTCGGGTGCGAGGCATAGTCCTCCTCACCATTGAGCGAGTGTTTATCGGTGGGAACACAAGTTGGGCTATCACATCTGGTTGTTATTGGAAGGTACGAATGCAACAGCTAGTTGCCTGTATATATGTGCAGCTTATGATATTAATATTGGAGCGGCGGGAAAACAAATGCAATATTTAAATGTATTTGCATTGATTTACACAAAATCTTTTGACTATAATATGACTAAAAATATGCAAACTGTCGAGATGTAGAAGTTTCTTTTAGCATTTTTACCGAAGATTCGGTTCGTCCAAGGTGCGTGAAATCACCTTCGTTGACAAGTCTATATAATCAATCAACGATAGTCTGACAAGTCTATATATGACAAGTCTATACAGACAATCAACGATAGTATGACAAGTCTATATATGACAAGTCAATATGGACAATCAACGATAGTCTGACAAGTCTATATGTGACAAGTGTATATAGACAATCAACGATCTCATGATTACTCGATGTGAAGGAAAGATTACAGCACTGCCTCTGATAATCACTCTACATAAGAACTTGTATGCGATGACACTCCACATAGGAACTTGTATGCGATGCGAGGAGAATATGTCTTGTTTGGAAACCTAAGCCAAATACTTCCTTAGTCTTCGTTTGCAGTGCCTAGCCTAGCGCCGGTTTCAATCGAATGGTTCGGTACTATTCACACAAATCTGCAGTAGCCAGTGCTGGCGGTTTATTTAACTGCTTCGCCTATAATGCTCTCACGTTGCTTATGATGATGTGGGTACTGTCGTAGAGCCTGATTTCGGCATCGATCCGCTGGTGCCTGTTGATAGTCTTGAGATACATGTGAGAGTTCAATGCCTCACAACTGAAGATTATCTTGGACCCCTTTCCACTGCTATTGGTGGTGTTGCCCACTTTATTTCGGATATGCTCAAGAAGGGGCGATCCATCACGTGAACGTCTTCATAGGAACCCACCCCTCTCTAGTGGACCGACTGCAAGGAATGAAAGTTTAATATTGAGACGATGGCATACAGGTCACCTAGATTCATCCGGCGTGATAGGCATATGATACTAAAACGCCACGCACATGGCTAATATGGGGATGTGAATGCCGAATATCGATGAATGCAGGCTGGTACTGTCACTATTAACGATATCAGCTATCTCAAAATCTGAAATAGGAAGGACAGGTACATATCAGAATACCCCAAAATAGGTAACTAGGTACGAACTTAGCAATCGTCAAGTTTGTAGCTGACAGGATCTTAAACAAGATAAGCCTATAATAGTCCAAATCGTCACTATAACACACACACACACACACACACACACACACACATATATATATACATAAATTAAATAAATATATGAATATTTACCTCGGACCGAGGTTCTCTTCTTTCAGGAAATCGAACGGCATATCAACAATGTGGCCCCTGATTGAAAGCAGCTCCTGGAAGGCTAAATGCGGAGGAAAAAGAAAGAAATAAAGAAAGAAAAGAAGTTCAGCTATGCGCGTAATCGAAATGGGCTATCGTATCAAGTACAGCAGGATAGAAACGAAGCTACCAAACACTGTATAAATGTTTGTATCAGAGACAGCTAGAGCCACGGGCCAATATTAGTAAGACGTGCTTCTCATTCGTGGAACTGGTAGATGTCAGCAATCGCAGGGTAACAGACTAACCGCTGTCACACTCCACACGAATTTGCGACAAATAACATGTACACAGCTGGCGCCCAGGAACTTTGTATGACATGACAGACTGAATCGAGTAAAAGTATTTTTTTAGAAGGCACGACACCCCGTTATATCTACAGAAAACCTAAACCAATGGCACCAATATTGACAATAAGCGCCGCAAATTCGATTGGAGAAGTGGCGACAACCTTCAACAACACCGGGAGGGGCGGGTCACAGATTTGACTACAAGGAAGTCACCACCAAGATATTACAGCCGCCCATATTGCGATAGACCGAAGTTACGTATATGTACTCAAAATATATTCAGTCCCTTAAAATGATGCACTCTAAGACACATCTAGTCCCTTAAAATGCACTCTAAGACGCATCCAGTCCCTTAAAATGCACTCTAAGACACATCTAGTCCCTTAAAATGCACTCTAAGACACGTCTAGTCCCTTAAAATGCACTCTAAGGCACATCTAGCCCCTTGAAATGCACCCTAAGACGCATCCAGTCCCTTAAAATGCACTCTAAGACGCATCTAGTCCCTTAAAATGCGCTTGAAGTTACATCTAATCCCTTGAACCGCAGTACTCTCCACTTTAACGGAGTACTACACATCTGCCCACTCTGATTCTCCATTAGAGTAGCGCACCACTCCAGAGCGACACTAAACACTCGTAGGCTCTCGCACACACTTCAGCTATACGCACCCAAGCACTCCCAATACCCGCGTGCATGTAAGCGCGCACACACGGAAGGGCCTCAAGATAAAAAGAAACAGCCATTAAATGGGCCTCCATCCTATAATGGTCCTGGCTTACCTTTGTCGGGGTCACTGTCAGCTACAGTCACCTCAGCTTTCCAATCTTCGAGATCTTCCCAGCAGTGGACGTGGTTGTTTGGCACCGTGCGGAATACGCGCTCGTATATCTCGGTGTTGGCCAGCGCTCTCGCAGTCCAGACACCTGGCCAAAATAGGAAAGGATCGATCCAATAGAGTACCAGGTTATTCGTATGCGTATACAACCTTCTGCATGATCTTATGGCGCACCGCATTACCGAATTACGAACGAATGAAACCGCATGTATGTTGAGGATTCTAGGGTTTAGGGTTCAGGGTTTAGGGTTTAGGGTTGGAGTTTCGTAATCGCACGTATATTAAATCTTCTGAATAGCCTCGTAGAGTGCCCTTTGTTGCCGACATACTAACCAAATGTGAGGCTCTGAATCGGTTAGCACTACTGCACTGCAGTCGAAGGACTCTCACGCGTGCCAGATATAACACTGGCGCACAAGTGTTCTCTATACCCGCATCCAATCCTGTCCCAATATGTAATGACATGACAACACGTGACATGACGCAACACGACACGGAATATCATGACACGACATGACATGACACAACATGACACAACAGGGAATATCATGACATGACCCAACACGTCACGGAATATCATGACATGCCATGACATGACATAACACCATACGAATGACGTGACAGGATAGCGCGTGACAGGACAAAGACGCACATACCATCGAAGAAGTCATCGGCCACCACATCCTTGCCAGCCTCATCCTCAGTAAGCCCCAAATGCTCAGCGAAGATACGCTTGCGAAGACTTTTGGCGTATCTAGAAATATAGGAGGTGTGTGTGTGTGTGTGTGAGTATTGAAACGTAGGAATATAACGCTGAGAATGATACGACTAGAAGCACTAGTATGGATTTATGTCAGTTTCAAGTAATGGGTGCAAAAGAGGTGCGGAAGAACACTTGTATAAATAGGAGTGAGACAAATATATGTCATGTAACTGTTATGAACCTAATTGCTAGAACGGGTACAAATGAAAGAGATAGAATGGAAACACGTGTAGCAGTTATCAGGTAAACAGATGTTCAATTTAGGATATACATACAAATAAAGATAGCAGGCAAACAAGTGTAAGAACCTAGGTGTACACATATACAAGAGTTAGCAGGATTTAAGATTCAAGATTTATATATATATATATATATATACAGAGAGACATATATATAAAAGTAGATATATATGTAAATACAACTTAAATATTTCGCACCTGCCGCACTGGACCGGGAGTCCATCCAGCATCCCGTCCTCAAAATCTTCATCTTGGATCATGACGGCAATCTCACTATCTCGACTGCCCAGCATTGATCGGTCGTTGATGTTCGCAGATCCGCAGATGACGGTGTTATCGTCAGCTATTAATAACTTGGAGTGCACATAGATCTGGTTCTCCACAGGTTCGCCCATGAGGTTGCTGTGTTGACGCAGGCCTGCACACAGGAGGAGCAAGTATCCGGATGGTGAGTGATAGACAACGTATATATATATATACATACATACATACATACATACATACATACATACATACATACATACATACATATATACATACATACACACACACACACACACACACACACACACACACACACACACACACACACACACACACACACACA